GATGGAAGATAGGGAGTATATCGCACTTTCGATTTGGCAATAATCAGCAGCCAATCTGCACGAGCGTGTTTCACTTGATATCAGTGAATCCTCGGCATCTCCCGAAGGATGAAGTTTTGCAGATAGCGGGGGGGGGGGGGGGGGGAGGATCGCGGAGGATAGTTACATAAGCGGTGCATAAGCCAAAGATCTAACTAGTCTACGTGACCAACAGTCGACTATAGCCGACGGGCCGTGGGCGTCAGCACTAATGCTCGTCCAGTTACACAAGTATCCCCTGAAAGCTGCTTTTTCCCTGTCATGTCAGTGATCGAATTCTATTCTTCGGTCCACGCGAGATTTTTTCTCCAGTGACATGTGAGTAGACTCAGTACGGCGTAAGGGACCCTCAAACAATCAGTGCCAAGCTAGAACTTGCGATCTGAAGCCTAAGAGATGCGAAGGGCGGGCGACAATCATGTTCTGTTAACTAAGATGGGCCCTGTCGGTAAAAATTGCTCGATGACTTTCCTGTCAGATCTTTAATGACGATGGGGACGTCATTGTAGGTCATAACATCCGCCGTTATATGCGGATGACTCCATAGTTCGTATCCTGGAACTGTTGACAGTCTGGCTGGGCTGCTGGAGTCTTGTGGACCGCGGCAATCCTTCAATCCTGCCTAGACATGTACTAAGTACTGCTGTACAGTCTGTACCCTGCAAAGTTGAATTTAGCGACTGTACCTAACTGTTGTAGCACCTCGTGCACTTTCCGAGCTCCTGACTCTCTTTTGCTCTTCCGTAGCGTCGAATGATTTGTTCGGTTCCAGAACAGATCTCGTAAATGACTGAGAGAGAGCCATGGCGATGAGAAAAAAGTTGTTTGTGCTTTCTCTTAAAGACCAGAGATGATAACAATGACGGTACTCCGTACCATGGGGGCAATCCCAATTTTCTGTCTTTTCTTTTGGCGATTCTCCATTCCAACAACTCGCTCCGTCGGGTTCCGTCATACCCAAGTAGTAGCCGCGAATAAGGACCAGGAAAGAGGGGGGGCTTGACCATTTTTCCCGCCCAGCCACAAATAAACTGACTTCATTATTCTGCACTGTCCGAACTAAGTAAGAGAGACAAGATTCAGTCCAGGCTGGCAGCGCGGGAGACCTCTGCGGTAAGTTAACTACCTACGTTACTACCAACTAACTTACTACCTAGGTAGCTACTAGGTAGCTAGCTTCACCTATCCCGACCTTTTCTTTCCCCTTCTGTTCTCTTTTCCCTTCCCCATCTCATCCCATCTCCCATTCATTTTCTGTCCATCTCCTTCTCCCCATTCCCAGCCTTCTTCTCCATACTCTTGATTACATTCTTATCTCTGAATCTGGATCCGAATCTGGATCCGAATCTGAATCTGTTATCCCATCTACCTCCCTTTCCTCCCTTAGACCGGCAACTTCTTGGAATTGAAGCTTTCTCGGTGTGGAACCGACCCATAGCGGAACTTGCTTACTGTAAGTCGACCTTTGACTTTGTGCTATCCGCAGCCTTCCTCTGGTTCCCCCTCTTTCATGGCGTTTGCCTCTCCATGAACCACCCTCCAAATCGAACCCAAATTCCACCTCGTCGCTGACAGAGAGACCTCCCTCTATTTTCTACAGATCCTCTCTTCAGTCTGACCCGCCGAGCGCTGAACCCTCCGTCGCCATGACGAACTTGAAGGAGCTGCGCATTCAACCGCGCATGTACAAGAAGCCACCTTTCTCGGTGGAGGTCCCCGGCGTGGAACCTGTTGAAGGAGAGACCATTCCTCGTCGACTGCCTCTCGCGAAAGATGGGCTCCTTGAGCGACCGGCCGAGGATGCCGGCACCACCTACGAGATCTTCCGTCGCTCCGCGAGGCTGTACGGAAACTCGAAGGCTGTCGGCACCCGTCGCCTGGTCAAGACCCATGTGGAGAAGAAGAAGGTGAAGAAGATCGTGGATGGCGTGGAAAAGGAGGTCGACAAGGAATGGACCTACTTCGAGATGAGCGGTTATACCTTCCTGACCTTCAACGAGTACGAGAAGTTGGCGCTTGAGCTTGGTAGTGGTTTGCGCAAACTCGGCTTGGAGAAGCCGGATAAAATCCATCTCTACGGCGCAACAAGGTACGCGTGTAACTTTACGGTGCTGGTGGTGATATCATCCGGGTGATGGGAAACGCTAACTGTGGCGGTTTTGACAGTGCACATTGGCTGGCCATGTCACACGGTTCGTTGCGCATGAACGTCTTATTGTTGATGGATCCCTTACTGATTGGATTGTCCTGTTACAGGTGCCGCATCCCAGTCGCTGACGGTTGTTACTGCGTATGACACCCTGGGCGAGGAAGGCTTGAAGCACTCCCTGGTTCAAACGTCCAGTCTCGCCATCTTCTGTGACCCTGGCCTCATCCCTTCGGTGGCTCACGTCCTCAAGGATGTGAAGTCAATCAAGCATGTCATCTACAACACCGATCAGGAAGTTAAGAAGGAAGACCTGGATAAGCTCAAGTCGGAGTTTGATTATCTGAATGTTATCAGCATCGAGGAATTGCGCAAGCTAGGCGAGGAGAACCCCGTGGACCCGGTGCCTCCCAGTCGCGAGGATCTGTGCTGTATCATGTACACTTCTGGTTCAACCGGACCTCCCAAGGGTGTCTCTTTGACCCAGGCTAACGTCGTCTCCGCATGTGAGTCCGCAAATCGATCTATGCTTCTTGCCTGATGTCCGCAGAACTGACCAGAGGATAGGTGCGGGTATTCACGCGATTGTCGGACCCTACATCGGACCCTCCGATTCGCTTTTGACATATCTTCCTCAGGCCCATATCCTCGAATTCATGTTTGAGAACCTTTGCCTATTCTGGGGTGGTACTATGGGCTACGGAAACCCTCGCACTCTTTCGGACACCTCTATGCGTAATTGCAAGGGAGACATTCGCGAACTGAAGCCCACGATTCTGGTTGGTGTGCCCGCTGTGTGGGAGTCGGTCAAGAAGGGTGTTCTCAACAACCTGAACAAGAACAACTTCCTTGTCAGGGGCATGTTCTGGGGAGCCATGTCCGCCAAGAACTTCCTCATGACTGCTGGCTTCCCTGGTGTGGACATGGGTGCTGGAATTCTCGATGCTGTTGTTTTCCGCAAGCTCAAGGAAGCGACCGGTGGCCGCTTGCGCATCATGATGAACGGCGGTGGACCCGTCTCGAAAGATACGCAGAAATTCCTGTCCATGGCTATCGCTCCCATGATCAGCGGCTACGGGTTGACTGAAACGTCGGCAATGGGTGCCCTGAACGATCCTCTGGCCTGGAACCCGGACGCTCTGGGTGAAATTCCGGGATCGATCGAAATGAAGCTCGTGGACTTCCCCGATGCCGGCTACTTTGCCAAGAACAACCCGCCCCAGGGAGAGATCTACATCCGCGGACCCAGTGTTAGCAGCTGCTATTGGGAGAACGAGGACGAGACGAAGGAAGCATTTACTGAAGACAGGTGGTTCAAGACAGGCGATATTGGCGAGTTCGACAAATATGGTCACATCAAGATTATTGACCGCAAGAAGAACTTGGTCAAGACTCTTAACGGTGAGTACATTGCTTTGGAGAAGCTCGAGTCTGTCTACCGGTCGTCTCCTGTGGTGGGCAACATTTGTGTCTACGCCGCACAGGACCAAGACAAGCCGGTTGCCATCATCGTACCCCTTGAGCCCGCGTTGAAGAAGATCGCCAAGGATAATGGTATCGAGGGCGACAATCTGGAGACCCTAGCACACAATGAGAAGTTGAAGTCGATTGTCCTCAAGCAGCTCCAGGCTGCTGGCCGGGCCGGCGGTCTCAAGGGTATTGAGATCATCAACGGAGTCATTCTCTCCGACGAGGAGTGGACTCCTCAAAACGTAAGCAGAAGCACACCAAAACACTTTTGCTCATTTATGCAGAATGACTAACATTCTCTGATTCGAACAGGGCTACATGACTGCCGCTCAGAAGCTTCAACGTAAGAAGATCCTCAATCGTTTCCAGGCTGATGTCGACCGTGCCTATGGCAAGAAATAGAGAGATTTCATGAGCCACTTTTCTCTGTACTTCAATTCTTATGTGCTTTCCTATTTTTTTCTTGTTTCCTTGTGTACTTCTCTAAACGGATATCCGCGCTGGTTGTCGTGATGCTGCATTGTCACTCGCCACATCGCATGTTGTCTATCTGGCTTGCTCTAATTGAATGATCTTATCTGTGATTTCCCGACGTGATAAGTGTATATGTGATGGTCTTTATTATCTCTCCTCCTCAACATGTATTCGGCGTATCACATTGCTCTTTCCTACAAAATTCTTTTAGGTTCTATCTCTCTACCAGTCATTTTCGGCTTGTTCTTTTTCAGGGTCTAGGAAAAGTAGGCGAGGCTATTGGATAAATGGAACAATTCGGTTTTTGCTCGTTCCCATCGTATAAACATTGGTGCATGAGCCAGTCAGTGATGTCGAGGCAATAAGACCTCGCGCGCCACATCAGTGCTGTATGTACTGTGCTGTCGCACTGCCGCGGTAGGACTCTCCGCTCATTCCAATTATGTTGACCCATTCCCAAGTAACCAATTGCCTCTCTTCCGTACAGAGTAATCCAGCACAAAATCTCGGCTCTATACTGAGTCGACCCTCAAATCTCCATAAGAGTGAAATCCGCATCCCAAAGTGTAATGGAAAAGGTAGTTGACGTCGATGTGGCTTAAGTACCGAGTCCGTATAGCTACGACGAAAGAGTAGGTACTATAGCACTAAGCCCAATAAAGCCTAGCGCAGTCCCATCCCAAAAGAGGGCAAGATCCTCCTGCAGTGCCAGACCCGGCCTACTGTCTGCCTGCCCACTTCGAATCAAGCTCCGTATTGAATCCACGGTATATTGTCGTCTGCGGAAGGGCCTGCTCGACTGCCGCGCAGTAATTGCTCTCGCTCTCTTGCACCAGGCTTGCTCTCCACTTACTGGAATTCCCGCGCCACAATGTCGTTCTGGAGGTTTGTTCTGCTACCTTTCTAACCCTCACCTTTCGTCTTGTCGGTGTTGGGACAACTACGATCGTTGCCATTCCTTCGTGGAGAAGCGTACACACCCTCTACTTACCTTACCTACCTCCCACTCAACCTTTTTTTTATAGCTCTAGACTAACTTGGGTGTGTCATTCTAGCTCGTACAAAAGCCTCTCCCCCAAGACGCGGGCCCTCTTCGGCGTCGGCGCCATGGCATGGGCGGCGATTGGCCTGTGGGTGACGCCGCAGGTGGAGGGGGCGATGGGCCTGACCCCGACGCCCGAGGAGCAGCAGGAGTTGGACCGGAAACTGTCGGTTCGGGTCTCGAGGGTCGAGAGAGATTAATAAGGGAATTGACTGGATTTGCCGGTTCGACCTTTGGGGGGGTATACCAAGAAAAGGAGAGGCAGAGCGATGGAGGTTTCATTTTCCCAAGCCGGACGGAACTTGGGCTGCTGAAATAGAGGCCCCTTGGCGGTTTGATCAAGGGGGTTCCGTACCGCCCAGGCTACGCGACATCTGGATTCAGAGCAATGTGCGGGAGGCAATGGGTTTCAGAAAACCCCCACAGGGAGAACTGCTTTTGTGTGTCCATTGAACTGAGATGGGGTCTCGAGTTTTTCTTTTCTGCCAAGCCTTGTCATAAACCTGGCGAGGGGCGGACTGGCAACACTGTCACATGAGCGTCTTGCAGCTCTTGCAGGCGAAATGGGTGTTTGACGCAAGATTCAAGGAATAAGACGACATGGTGGCGAATAAGGCATGAAGTGAGGGCTAGAGAAGAATGAAGCCAGGAGGGAGGGCGGTATGGCAGACTGGGCGGCATGTCGGTGCAGGGCACTGACTGAGCTGGCATTCGGCAGAGGCATTGGGCTCTCGTCGCGTGTTGAGCCTTGTCAGAAGTTTGTTGATGGGACACAACATCCGGGAAAACCGTTTCGTGAAATGGAAGTCTTGACGCATGCAGTGTTGGGATGAGGTTTGGGGACAGCCATTCGTATGTTGATATAGGTGATCGACAATATCGCTATGGTTTCGTCGGTTCGAATAGGAAAAGGGCTTGAAGAAGAACTACAACACTTCCCAAGTGAGAGCAAGCTAAGCAACTAAATCGAGAATGAGCATCGAGTCATTCCCTCTAGACAGCTGGTCTTGGACGCAGTCACCAGGTGACTGGAAGTGACCATTCGAAGTTTGAGCCCAGGAGTTTCGGGACTCAACCGCCCCGCCAGCATCGCAATGGGACTGGTTAACGCAAGGCCAGTATTGACGCGAAGAGTAGCCCATACACACAAGGGGTGTGCATGGTGGGTTTGTTTCTCTTCCTGCCAGGGATCTCAACCGGCCGTGGCCCATGGTCTCGGATTCGACACAAGCCCAGGCTGGAAACCAGACCCACGACTCAGGATCAACGGACATACAGGATACAAGAATTCCTTTTGCTTCAGATGTTTCCTGGGTTGTTGTCGCATGCAATTCGCCGAAGGCCCCTTTTTCCCACATGAACCGCGCTAGACGATCAATGGAACGAAGCGTCCCTGTCGCCTTTTTCGTGGTGGGCGGGTAAATTCGAAGGAACAGTGGCCCCGCCACATTGACCGTTGGTTGAATTGTGCAAGGCGATAGGCTTCATACCTTGCTCAAGGATCAGAGATGATGCGGTGAAACTGCGAAAGGATTGGATTCATCACGATAGTCGCACCACGCTTCGGAAAAGGTGTCGTGGCCGGAAGGCAACGCGGTAGCTCACAGGAGGGCCTGGAGCCGATCGTCTTCTGTCGGACCCTTTCCCTCCTCCCTACTCCCTTGTACGACGTGCATGGTGGGCTATTCTAGGGGAGCTTTATTGCGCCGAGACTGTCTGGCTTCGGTAGCCACGGCACCCCCACTTGCCACCGTTTAGAATCGATAAGCCATTTGAACGAAAACAATCGGGTCGGACTAATGTGATCTCTGATGATGTCTCGGCTGCTGCAGGCTGGACCAGCTGCATGTGGTTCTAGGAATGATCGCTGTATCCTGGCTTTCGAAATCAGATGAGAGAACGGGGCTTGAGCATGTATGTATGTGGGTTCATTCTGAAAATAAGTTGATGGCAAGAGAGCACCTGGCAGGGTATCGCGTATTCCCTTCCTGGCTCTTTCCATTTATTGCCCATTTCGTTGGGAAATCATTGAATAAAGTCTCTTTTCTCATTGCGGATCCAAATGCTGAACTCTCAAAGAGGCAAAGCTTTCCCAAGAGTGGTGTCGAGGATAGAAGTTCGAGCACCCATGTCTGCGTTTGCGGACCGCCTACAGCTTGATTGAGAGATACTTAGTAACGGAGTACATAAATGAGATCGTCTGGAACGGCACCGGAACGTGCCGAGAGCGGTAAGTTTAGTGGAGGCAGCAGCCAACCAGCACTCCATAGAACTTTCAGTCTTGAATGGGTGAAAGTCATACCTAGGAGTAGGTAATGTATGTACTGTACCTGATGTACTTTAGAGTTTCCCGCAGCACCATCTGTCTGACCACTATTGAGCGTGGGAGCTGCATCGTACCGTGCTGGGGTTGAGAGGGAGCGAGAGCGCTAAGCCTCTTAAGAAGAGGCAACAAGAAGGGAACGATGCGGGTTTCCTAATGCGATTTACTCAGCGGCCTAATGTATGTCCGGTCGATCATGGAACGCATCGGGTGGGCGATCATCGCGTTAGTCGCATGTTCCTTTTTTGACGTCGCTCCAGTCTTGTCATCCGCAGCTGTGGAAGAAGGAAGCATCTCTATCCCGGACCGCCCGTATGGATCGGTGAATTGAGGACCGAGAGACGGGAATATACTGGACTGAACTGAAACGCGATGGGCGAGACTGGAAGTACTGTCTGTACTCAGTCGAGAGATCGGAGGCTATGGAGTTGGGGAGGGGGAGGGGGGGTGGCAAGCAAGCCCGTTGAGCCGCAAAGGAAGTCAAAGACGAATTGCCGGGCAAACTGTAACTAGTGGTTCGTTGACTTCGTTGACTTCGTTGACTGTAGGTATGAGTAGAGCGCCCACCCACTCCACTTTCTCCACTCAACAAACACAACAACAAGACAACGAGAAGGAAGAAATTAGAACAAAGAAGAGACGGAAAGGACTGGAAGTGGCGGGGCCAGGGAGCTCGAAGGGGAAAAGGAGGTGAGATTCAATGACTCAAAGAGAGTTAGTCAGTGTCAATGAGCAGTGAGCACCAGCTGCTGCTGCTGCTGCTGCTGCTGCTGGTGGTGGCCGGCCGCCAAACTTGGCAGGTACCGGGTCATCCCGTCCATTCATTGTACGGAAGTACACAAAGTAAAGTACTGTAAATACACATACACATGCTTCTTACTTTTTGTCTGTATGGAAGCAAGTCTTCCAAAGTTTGTCGATCTTCCTCCTCCTCCTCCTCCTCCTCCTCCTCATCATCATCAATCATCATTGGGGCTGACTGAGCTCGTCTGACTCTGTCCCTTCCCGACTCCTTCCCCTCCCTCTCCTTCTATTTCCTATTGCTGTTGTTTCTCTCTCTTGGAGTCTCCCCGACACCACCAGTCCTCCAAGCCTCCTTGTCCATCTTGTCCATCTTGTCCATTGGACTGATCGGGGAATGGCGCATGGCAGATGAAGCCTGGGAGGAGATCAAGCAAGTCCAGCCTTTTTCGACTGAGAGGCACATCCGTCTCCCTCCCCCCTCCCCCCTGCTCCTATCACAAACGGATATCAGCCAGATGTCCACTTTCCAATTGCCCCCACCATCTGGCAGGCTTGTTCATTTGCTTCTTTGAGTATGGATCGAATTCGGTTCTTTCTTGTTCCTTTTTTTTAATTGCTTTTTTTCCGTGCCGGTACACTCTCGATCTTCCCCTCTCCCCTTCCTCCCACCCCCATGTCGGTTTGACATGCATCATTAGGTTGGCCTGACAGCGGCGACCCTCAAATTAGTCCCAAGTAGGGCAACATATCGGAGAATTTCTGAACCCCCGCCAGAGCCAATTATTGGGCCGCGAAGGTTGCATTTCCCTGTTTCTTGGGTTTTATCGTGCATTCGCTCAGACTCCATGCGTTTGTTGTCCCTATTATCGGGGTTTCTTATCTCGGGAGGGGATTCTGTCTCCCTGATCTGATACCCTGGGAGGGGGGAGGACAGGTCCTTGGTGGCTTACTACTCCTCGCGGGGGAAAAGGAAAGAGACCCGCTATGGGTTAAAAGTCAATACAGACACAAAAAGAAATGAACCTGATGGGCTGGGGTAGATGCGGAAACCTTAGCAACTCCTCGACAAAGCAACAAAGAAGAGGCTCGCATAGGTTAGCTCTCTCGAATAATCAATGCAATTTCGCTTGCCTTGGCTACATGGAAAATGTCAATGAACTCAAGCTGCCAGTCTATATCGAACACATAGAAGGCTTTGTTCGGAAAGTCCATCACAAGCATCCGAAAATCTTTTCTTTTTCCCACCAGGAAAAATAGTTCACAATAATCCATATGGAAAGAGAAGGAGAAACAGAAAGAAAGAAGAAGAGGAATAAGAAAAGGAAGGACAAAATAACGGCAAAAGTGCGACCACAATGACCCGTCAAGTTTGATCCTGCCTATAGTGATAGTGTTTGAGCTTTCAATGAGAGAAGGCTGAGAATAGAAGAGAAGGGATGTAGGAGGCGGTACAAGGAGAAAACGGAGTCCACAGGACTAGAGGTCAAGGTTCATCAGCTAAAAGGAGCGTAACGGGAAGGGCAAGTCAGGGTCAAACCGAAAACGCCAACTGCTAAGCGCACAGACTCTGGGAGTTTGAAAAGCGACCGTAAGGACTGCCGTCGCTGGCACGCGTTGAGTAGACAGGATCATACCCACTGCTCGTGGAATGGTGGAAGAGATTTGGAGCCATTCGAGAAGGTTGTTTCAGATAATGCGACGACTCATGCTGGTCGTTGGGGACAAACGAGACCATAGGGTCGTAAGTGTCCGCGAACCCGTTGCCGGTCTCGTCGCTGCTTTTAGTGATTGAGTCGTAGTCAAAAGACGGCAGGTGGTGGCGGTACTGGCTGCCGGGCTTTCGGCCATTCAGAACATGGTAGCCAGGATCCTGATATGAATCTATACTAGTCGTACTTTTCATCGAATCCATGGGGTCCATCGTATCCGTAATGAGCCCCAGGTCGAACGCTGATGAGGAAGATGAAGATATATGCGGGCTTTCGCTGAGCGGTGACTGGTCTGCCGCTGTCATTTGATGGTAATCGGTGCGAGGATATTGTGGACCGCCGCGGTGAGAAGCGTCGTACGGCATTAAGGTCAAGTGAGACCGTGCAGCCTGTCCTATGCCCGGGGGTAGGACAGCGCCTCCGGTGCCGTCGCCCGAGCCACCACTCCCCCCGTCTGGGCCCATGCTCGTTGAGCTATCGCGTCGGCCATCTTTGTAATGGCCCGGGGAGCGACCACGAACGACCATGGGGTGAGAAAGTCGGCGGGCTATCTTAAACCACTGGGTCTCAGTTCCACCCACCGGATGGGAGACTTCTGCATATAGCTCTACCACCAGATTGTAGTATTGCTGTTGAGCCCGTCGCTTGCCATTATTTGCCGTCGCTTTCTGAAATTGGATGCGTTCAAAAGTGTGTTGTGTTGGGGGCTGTGACGGCTGCGGGGCCCCAGCGTACGTGGAAGTATACTCCATCGGTATTCCGGCCGACTGTGTGAGTGAGTAGCCGTGAGGACTGCTGCTGGATGCCCCACCGTGGCCCAGGGCTAATGGCGAAGGTTGGCACGGTTGAAGCACGATCTTCCCTGGTTTTCTTTCCGACTGCTTATCTCGTTTCGGGGTGTGCTGAACCAGCTCTCGAGGCTCCCCGCATTGTGCATTTACTATTGCCGAAATAGACATAGAAAATGACAGGATGCGCTCTGCCGTTGATTGCTCGGAAAATTTGAGGTAAAGAGGACCGTGAGGCATAGGGCATAAAGAAAAGGAACACGAGACAGAGAAATAGTTGCGGCGATAGCAGGTCCACTTTTCGTCCACTTGGAAAAATCCCTTGTGAATTTTCGCTTGTATCTCAGGTCTAATTGTTTGATTGCCTGAGATGATGGGGTGAATGACATTGGTCTCATGGAATGGAGGTGCATCCGTCATGGGCTGCGCCAAGCGCTGAACAGGATCGATCAGCAGGTTTGTCGACTGCCCAAAAAGCGAACGCTCGTTAGGACCCTCGAGTGCTCTTGGTGTTGTCGTATAAGGAGCCATCCTACTCATCTCGGGTAGGGCAGACAATGATGGAAACGTTCCGCGATGAAGTGCATAGCCTGAATAATTGTCGGATCTCCCCACCGAAACTGCAGTGGCTTGCGATGGTACGCTGGGCGACATGTTGGTCGGTGGTTGACTAAATGGATCCCAAAATTTTCTTATCAATCAACCCATGTTGAGAATGAATCATCGAGTTTATAGACAGACTTACAGCGCCGGGGGTACTCGATGGGATCTAAAATCGGAAATTCTATCATAGGATAGGCCGGGTGAATGTGAGTAGATAGAATTGGATGTGGAAGAGAAGGTCTCTGCTAGGAAGCACACCCATTAGCTACGAGCTCAAACAGCCAAAGACGAAGAGCAGATGGCTAGGGTGAGATGGAGACAAACCAGAGCACGAGTCAGTAGGGCTCATAATCATGGTTGGCGACGCTGCGTAGCTGTGAATCTATTTAGTCATGATGCTGTGTCGGTGGGAGAGGTGTCAAAAAGTCTGGAGAGATTGGCGGCAACGAGGGCCAAAATAAGATAGGACAACAGAAAGGCCAGGTATAGTTCATTGGCTTCCAACGCATCATGATTGCAAGGCATGTATAAGCGTATCAGAAGCGAGGCGAAGGGTCCAAGGATGTGACCAGGGAGCAACAAGTCAATGCACCCTGCAAGCAACAGGCTACCAGACCCCAACCTTTGATGAAATAAGGATAACAGGCCGAAACGGAATATCAGAAGAAATTGGGAAAATGAACATGAGATAATAATAGGACAGGTATTCAGAGGTTGAAAGGAAGAAAATCCAATCCAGAAAAATAGAATAAGATAAAATAAGAAGGACTAATCCAAAGAGGCAGAAGCAGCATGACAGCAACACAGAGAGAGGGTGAGTTGAACAGCGAGCTACTCGGTAGTCAGGCTGTTTGGACAAGAAGGAAATGCTGCAACTAGTGGCTGCAAGCGGGACAAGTGGAGCACGAGGATAGCCTGGATTGAAAGAGAACTGAACTTACGGTACATCCTGCAGTGCAGTCTGCTGTGTGTTGTATCGCAAACCGTTGGTAGCAGGTATTGAGACAGGCTGCGCGAGAGGATGGCCAACGGCGCCACCTCTCCGGGTATTTTCTTCTTCGTCCATTGAAAAAGCTGTCGATCCAGAAAACGGCCGTTGCGCCCCCGCGTAGTCTCCGTCATTATTGAGGGGACCATCCAGTGGAAATGAGTTTTGCAGAAGAGTTGCTGACAATAAACCCATGGTTAGCAGGATGGCTTTGGACAGTTGCCAGCAGGGGAAGAAAAATGGAGGGGAGCATGAAGGAATAGAGAAGGAAAGACAGAGAAATACTATCACCACATTGGGTCTCTCTCTCTCTCTCTCTCTCTCCCCCCGCACGCGAGAGAGAGAGAGAGAGGCAGTGGATGAGAGCGAGAAATTAAAAATCAAAAAAAGAAACGGAAGAGAGAAAAAAAAAAAAAGAAAAAAAGGAAAAGGAAAAAGAAATTAGAAGAAATATGAAAGAGGAAATGAAAATGAATAATAGTAACTGACAAAAAGGTACAAGAAGATTTAGCTTCCGCCAGACCAGCATGGAGGAAAGGGTTCAATTTCACTCCCTGTCAGCCAAGGAAGTAGGAAGCAGTAATCCTTGATGTCATGCGAATTCAAGGAAATCGGGCATTCTGAAATTGTGTAACCGAAATAGAAGCTTGAAGTGTAGGTAGGGAAAAAAAAAAAAAAGAGAATCTTAACGTCACCCTTCCCACGGATGTAGATCGGCTGCCTGTCAGAAGTAATCGCGACTGGGGGGGAGGTCACGAGCCTAGTCGGCCGCTGAGACCGCATCATGGAATTGACGGAAATCTTGCCAGGTGCCAGGGTAAGGAATGTCAGGAAAATAAGAGACAGAACCACTTACAATGATTCATTGGGAAAAGCCACAGAAGGGTAACTACCTCGAAAGATAGAAAACCTCCTTAAGAATAAGCGAAAAATAGAGAGAGAGAGAGAACAGGGGGCAAAAAAGCCAGCAATGATAAAAGAAGAAAAAGAGTCACGAAGATCAATAGATAAACTTTTGAGGATTTAGCAAACTAAGCTCAAAGACGGGTTCGTGCCTGGGGCGTCTCCGATTTTGATTGTCAGCCTAAGCTGAGCAGCGACGAAAGGACCTTGTCAAAACTAGACCTGGATGACACTATATAGGGTGAGAGCGCAGCTGTTAGACGCTGTCAGTGAGGCCTGCCCGTGAGGCTCGCAACCGCGCGGTTTGGAATAGGTCGTCGCTCTTACCCGGAGATTTTGTCCGCCTTCAGCGTTCTGGTCGAGCAATAGGATCCTAGCTTCAAGGCAGCAGAGTTAGGCTTATCTATTAGAGACACACCTGCTAGAGAAACAAAAGGCATAGAGCAATGAAATCTCAAAGAAAACAGCCAAACCCATTAAGCAGGCCTGTCGCTTAAATCCCCTGCGAAGAGATATAAAATGAAGGGGGGTTGGGTTTGTGAAATAGAAGCATTAGACCAGTGAAAAGAAAACGGGCTGAGAAGAGCTGAAACCAATAAGCAGCATGGGTGGGAAGAAGAAGAGAGAGAAAAAAAAAGAAGCATGAAAGCAGCATCGACATATGCCCTCGAGGACAGTGACTAAGAAGACATGGGGGCCTTTGGCAGGTTTATGAACGGTACGGGAATATTGACGTAGACAATGAACGGAGCCAATACACCCCTGTTGCTAGCCATCGCGCTGCAGATGTCCAGCAGGTCTTGACGAAAAGTCTTCCAAAACACCAAAGCTTGCAGGTTTCATGCAGCCAGTGACATCTCTATGACTCATGTCATGGCAATGAGAAGCATCACCAGGAATGACACTGTTTCGGCTCCGAAGTAAAGCGTAGTTCCAAGGCCGAACTCCAAGGAGGAGAATGAGAAGGGAAAGACGAGAGGCACGGAGACTCCCGATGCGAGAGAACAGGAAACAGAGATGATGAGACTCACTGGAATGTGCTCAGCTCAGCAGAGGGAGACTATCTTGCATCAGTTGATGCAGGTTTTCATTCTCAGCTGCAACCCTATGTATATGTAGATCGGTTGTCCCAGAAAGTCGGTAATCCACGTCAAGAGGACGGCGGCTGGAGACAATAGAGTCCTGCTCCTCGGGAGATTAAATAGAAGACCTGGCGCAGCGCTCGGAAGGTCGAGGATTGTTGAGACCGTTCTCCAGTGCCGAATGATCCAGAGGAAAAGGCAGGGCTGAGCCGACAGTTGTTGCGAGGGAACTGCTCGCTTGATATTGATTTTTTGGATGTTGGATGAAGATGCTTTGCTCACGGTTCCTCCTCCTGCCCACACCCTCAAGACGCGCACTTCAGTCTCCGTTGTCTACCTAGGCTGGCCCCTTTACGGCACCCAATAAGCGACCCTGGTAGTTGTGCGGCGGAAATGGTCTGCAGAGGATCGTTGTGCACAAGCCCTGAAGCTCCAGGTTACCCATTTAAGCTTGAGAACAAATACCACCCTCGCCACGAGTTTGCTGTTGAGCTAGACCATGCCAGGGCCCAAAAACTTTCCTTGTTCCAACTTCACTGTTGCGTAGATCAAGAATAAAGAACAGTGGATTACAATGGGTGCACCTGGCCTTTGAGAAGAAGAAGCTTATGTACTCCTGATGTGCAGGTTGATAGATAAAAGCCTTGTGCTGTTCATTGCTGATCTTGCTCCTCTGGCTTGTTCTCTGTTGATACTTCTTGTCTGTCTGTCTTGCGGGCGCGCGTGCCCTCAGTTTCCACCTCCCTCTCTTCAACACGTTCTCGTCCGCGAATTGATGCGCATCGATTTCTTTTCTTTTTCGACTCAAGGACGAAAAAGGAAAGAAGGGTAAACCCCTCAACCAGAAACAGAGCAACGACCTTCGAGGGAAAGATTGACGTCTCATCCCAACTAGTGCAGGAAAGATTAAAAAAGAAAAAGAAAAACGCGAAAAAAAGCTGGACCCTGTCAAAAACCGTTGGAGACACACAACATTGGTCAGATTCCATGTGACATCTCTCTGACCCAAGTCCAGGCAAATTTAGCGCTGCACAAACTCAGTGTGGAATGAACTCCAACTTCGACATAGTTCAACCGGCAGCTTGATTGGTGAACTGTTCTATACTCCATACAGAACATTACTGTTGAAGTCAGCTGTCCTAGTGTGTGAACACCCGACGAACGGCAGAGTGCAGCAAGACCGAAAAAGATGGTACTAGAACCGATTCGCGGCGATCATTGCCCCGGGAATCCGTGCAGACCCCAGTCCCATGATGGGGATTGTCGATAACACTACTGAGCTTGGGCAGATGCAGATAGCCAATAGCTCTCAGGGCCGTCGACGAAGGGTCGATGTACGCCGTCTAGCCATACCGTGCTGGGTAAGTGGTCCCGAAAAAAAAAGAAGCCATGTTCAAGAGAAGTCTCCTCTTTGCGATCACTTCCCTCGCAATCTCTGAATATTCTCAAGGCACGAGCAGCAGCGAGTCTTGCATGAATAGAGGGCGATCGTCAGATTTCGATCCAACGGTCGATTTTGAATACCGTGACCCGTGGTGGTTGTCCGTTCACCGACATAGCCTGAGAAAACCATGACTTCAGATATGCAGCCTGTATAAACTGCAGTAGCATGGATAGGATGCCTCTTTTGATTCGGTTAGATATTTTGACCGAATCGCATGCACTTCAGCGACAACGACCCCTTTCCAGTCCTACCGATTCTCGGTGTGGAGCGTACATGTGCTGCGCACAGCATGTTTTCCAGAATTGATTAGGCCCACTGCCAGGTAAGACAGCCTAAGTGACTTCACTGGATCTGGAAAGGAATGGAGTTTGCGGAAGTGGGGGATTTTTGTTTTTTGTTTTTTGTTGTTTCATCTGGACATTTTGGTCAATGTTTTCTTATTCCTTCCCCCCTCTTTCTTCCTAATGGGAGAGGTTTTCTGTGGCTGGATGATCGGCCAGACCTGCAGGAAGCTAGTTGGTCCAGATGTGATATGCACGGTGCTGAAATAAGCCGCCAAGAAGTCATCATTGGTAGTGTCCGAGTGAGATTTTTCCCTCGAAGCCAGTCATTGAAGGACTGCAAATTCTGCGTATAGAGTCAGTCCCTAGTGGAGGATGGATGTCGTGCAGGACGTGCCCGCGGGATGCGGCGCGAATCCCATAGTAACCTTGAACAGGGGGGTGGGGGGAGGGGGAGGGGGGCCGAGAGTCAAGACAAGACTGGGACGTGAAGGACGTTGCATTATTTCAAGCCAGGGTTAACTTGAGAGCTGGGCCCGCTGATTGGGATAATGATCTATCGATGGACCCATGGACCCATGGTTGAAAGGAGATACGGTATGATCTCACGCGCATCTCAGCATGAGAATGAGATCTCTCTACTAGAGAACTCGAGAACTCTGCCGTGACAATGCCAATCTACAGAAACAAACCTATTGAGATCTTCAGGACGAACAATTGGACATGGTGATTGCAGGGATGCATTTTCCACAAACGTGATCGCGGATACAAAAGCAAGAACGGTTGTGGGAGACTAAATACATTACAGATGTATAGGTACCGACCGTACTAACTGTTCTTAGTAAGTGTTAAATAAGTACTGTACCTTAGTCTATCAAAATTAATTCAGAATTTCAGAATCACTGGGCCATGGGCCATGGGCAAATCCTCTTAGTGCCGGGAGGGTTCATGGCACGTGCAGGGAATTGCTAAAAAGGGATTAGTGCCATGCCGACTGGTACCTTCTTATTTACAACCATTTAACAACCATTGTTATTATTGCGCCAACAACCAACAACCGATTCAGTCGTCCGTCTCCTCCACAATTTTCTGTTTCTATGGCTCATCATGATAGTCAGCGCCAGTGCGGTGTCATCTTTCTTCGTCAGAGCAGGAACTGAGCTCTATTGGTCCTGGTAACGATAGAACGATGGAACGAAAGCCGGGTACCGACAACGCCCCGAACATCTCCTTCCTCTGCTACTCCGTACTTTACTAAGATATGGCTGACAGGGCTGTGTCTACCTAAGCAACAAACCTTTAAAAAACTTCGCATTTGTTCCAGTTACAGAGTACTGGGCCAAGACTTTATCGGGTTGCTAGGTAAATTCCAGAGCACCAGCTTGCGAATCAGAGAGGCCAGTCCTCACGGAGTCATCATTACGTTGGCCGATGGACATGACAGAGCATCTTCGAAGGCATCTGTTCGTTCTCTTTTCTCTTATTCGACTGGAGTCCAGTCCCGAAAGACTCGGATTGAGGAGCTGTTCGTTTATTCATGACCGTTCCTACGTTAAGGTTCGAACAAGGCTCTAACGAGGGCCGAGTTCTCTAACCTGGGTGGGAATGTGTTGGACCTGTCTCAGAAGTAGCATCGCTACCAAATTGCGCCCATTGGTGCCTTTCCGATTAATGCACGGCTCTGGTCCTTCATAATCAGAACGCGAATTATTCCTTTTGCCTGCTGACTTTTACCCGTGCTAGTGGCTGATACGTCTCCCGATGCAGCCTCCTGTGCAACCACAGGATAATTACAGTACATTTTCGAATCCATACTGGGGCAAAGAAGCCTGTCCTGACATGTTTTGGGCTGCAGACGGCCGATATTACGGTTTGGACTATCAACAAAGCCCCGCCAGGCCGTCGTCTTGCCGATCGAAGCAGCTGCACTTGAGGCGAGTCCAGAACATTCGGCTTTAATCTCCGGGATTCTCAATAGACTTTACAATTGGATGGACCCTTGACAGAATCCTGGCTCTATTACCTGGGCTGCTATGCGGATTACAATCATCTCTTTGCATATTAGCCTTTCTATCCGATCATTCTTACCGGGCAGCCGGTTCTGGCAGAAGTAGCCTTCCGAGAGTATCCGGTTCTATATCTCAATTCAAGCTGTAGCAGCTTTCTTCAGTGGTCGAGCTAATATGCGGTTGAGCATCATTACTAGAGGAAATATACCGTGGCGGACGCACAGGTGCTACTACCGCGCGTGTTCTAGGCAGGAGCATCGTTGGTTTCTCTGGTAGCGTCGGGTCCGAGGGTATACCGGTTCTTCCCGGTCCACTTGTGATTTGCCCGGTTGAACTGAAGAGCTAAACCACAGCGACCTCAGCACACTGGGCTATCCTTGAGTCGATACCACTGATCTCTGGAAATATCGAAGGAGCCAGGCCGCTATTGCTCCTTCTTCAATGCTGCGCATCTGGAGCCAAGGTGTATAGACGAAACCCATCTCAACAGCTCCGTCCTAGCTGTATCCCCATTCTTGTCTGTAAACCCTCTTTGATCCTAATCGTTCTTCTCATACCTGACGATACTGCGGCTAATACCTTGTCAAGGGAATTCGGCATTTGTACCGGAAACCCAAGTTAGTGTTGTTATTCCTTATTCCGCGTGGCCGTCTTCGTTGGTTGGGTTGCTATCAAATCTGGCTTGTTTGTGTGACTCGACGGGATCAGGATCAATTGCTGCCTGGAATTGGTATTCTGGGTATTTTCCCGCTCGCGGCGCAGACTTCTTTCGAGGTCAACGCGAGCACCAACTCTAAGAGCCGGCCCATAACTGAAAATACTGCAGAAGGCGCCAGGTTTGGCCGGGGAATTCACCCTATCATGCCCATCCACTCAATTCGATCGGACGCTCGAGCGGTAGAGTATAGCCTTGGAGTCTCAGCAGCAACGAACAGGGCCATAGGACCGACGCTGATCGATGCCTTCGAGGCATATGCTCAAGGGAATACGAACCGAAAAAAAAAAGCCGAGAAGGTATGATGCCTGCTGGCTCTCAGCCATGGGATCTGCTTCTTCGACCAAGTCGAACCGGATAGGACGGTCGTTATACTTGATTGGGTAAGGTTGGTGTAGGTGACGTTGATGAGAGTGGCGTGCAAGACGCCCATTTGGCGAGACGGATATGCTGAGTCCCGTGGGGATTCGGCTCTTCCAGTGGATGGCCAGTGCCAGCTCAGTTGTCTCTCGAGGGTAACACAGATAGGAGCTCGCGAGTGTGTTCAGAAGGAGAGCATATCAACAGTTGACGGAATTACTCGCAGGGCGATACACAAGACCATTCTTGACAGAACTATCCAACACCGTGTCCATGCAATGTAACCAATGTCGGACGGAGTCAGCACACCATCCACATACCTTCCGATCAATAGCCATTGGTGCACTTGCGAAGGTAGATTCTATACATCTCCATCATGCTGATTTGGCGTGACGCCTCGCCCCAGAAAACAGGCATTGGCTTATCTGAATGGCAGACGGCTTGGGCGGAGGTCATCACGCACTGAGGTTGATACTTGTTCGTCTGGTCATGCTTACCCTCCTGGGCGTGATGATCGATCAATTGAGATGTGGCATGACCCCGATCTTGCCACTGAGGAGCGCCCTATCCTGCGGCATCTACCAAAGAGCCATGTTTACAAGGGATTCTTGCAGAGAGATAGCGGGTTGGTGTGCGTGAAGCGGATTGGGGAGGGGGCAGCGCTAATCTCAGAAGCTCCTGAGTATTATTGATCCTTCTTTGCCATCTGGCCTAGCCCACAGGCCATTTCTCAGCCTGACAGAAGCTTGTATACGGCAAGCATATCCTTGACAAACTGACTTCGATAGTCTGTTCGCCGCAGCCTGTCAACGCCCATCCGCCACTTCCTCTGACTGTGGGGGCCTATAACCATCTCCCAGCCTTTCTAGCCGATTACTAGACTAGAGTGCCGCCCCCCGCCCCCCTTCTGGCCCCGTCTACGGATTCTTTTCAGAAAATCCTGGTGGGTAGGGGAAGAACAGCTGGCAATGATGTAGATTGACTCATCGGACAAAGTTCCATAAGCAATTGCTGCACAGTGGACCAGGGGTGAGGCCGAGGAGGGGAATGAATGCATCTACGAAGAAGACTAACAATCCTGCCGGAGGCATTTGCGGAGGTTGGTAGAAGGGATTGGGACATCTTGACCCTTCTCCCTCCCTTCCAGCTTGCAACTGTCTACTCCTACGTTCACATGATCGTAAAGGCCACGTCGAACCAGACTTTCTATCATTGGGACATGCCTACAAGCCCACGCTAACCCTGAATGCAACGTGATC